TGCTGTACCTGGGACTGCCACTAAAAAGCATGCCTTGTCCCCTTGCTCCTGCTCAGCATTTATCAGATACCAAAAAGCAGTGTAACCACCTGAGGGAGTAGCTCTGAATGTGCACAAAGAGGGTGAGAGCAGTGCTGGTGCACATGCTCCTGACTGCGCTCAGGCAGCTCCACAGTTTCATTTCTCAGGTTGCTGGGCTGGAGCAAGAGCAGGGGGTGTGCTGCTTGGTAGCAGTGTGAGACATGGCCTGGAGGTGATGCAGATAAACCCTTAGTTCCCTGCATTCTAGCAATGGAGGAACAACCCATGGAAACCAAAGATTTAACATTTTGATACCAAAACATTGGCTCCTTTTGAAGTGTTCCGTAACTGCCTTAGGCTTCCAGGGTTAGTGGACTCAGCCAAACAATTTCTCCCAATCTACCAAGGGAATAATCTATTGTTATACTTTCAGCAGCTGCTATTTATACTCTGGTCTGTTGAATATACTTCTGCACTGGGACACTGGTGAGGGAAGAGGGATAAAAGTTAAAGGGACCAGCCCTTCCTCCTTTTCATTTAGGTGGGAAAGGATAGAACCAGGAAAGCTGTCTCTTTCCTGCTTTTCTTCACAGGATGTTGGTTGAAAAAGGAACCAGCTAGGCTCCTTTGCTCCTCGTTTCTGCTTTCTTTCACAGGGTAGGAGTGGAAAGAGGTATTATGTCAGGAGAGGGAGGAGATCACCAGCGGCCCCATGGTCAGGCAGAGAATGCATGCATTCAGAATGAATTGTCTGGGTTTGTTTAATTCCTAGTTGTCTGCTATTATTTAATTATCCATTCGTTGATTGTCTGGGTTTGTTTGTTCATGCTGATTTTTTTTTTTTTTTTTTTTTTAGTAATTTGTTTATTCGGGGTGAAAACATATTGGCTAGGGACAGACAATTAAAAAGCCTGAGCCTGAATTGATTCAATCTTCGCTGGTTAGTCTAACCTGGCTAGGATAAATCAGTTTGTAACTGCACAGATATCCCAGACATGCAGGCACATGCCTGCAATGGCACAGGCTAGAAGCCGGGGGGCACTAGAGCAGCCCTCCCTTCCTTCCACAGTGCTGAGCTGAGCGGGGGGTGGCGAGGCCCGGGCAGGATGCTCTGATAGGGAGGGGTTCCCCCCACACCAGCCCAGCAGGGAATTGATAACACAGTGTTTATCACCCCTAACTCAGTGTTTATCACTCCATTAAGAAAACAACAGAAGGGCATTAACAGCTACTTGTTGATTCTGCCTTTATCCCGTCTAGCACAGCAAGGGTCATAGCTAGCATCTGGTTTGCTAGCTAATGCTAAGAGGTGTCTGTGTAAGGGGAAGGGGCAATTCCTGCTTAGCAAGGGAATGCCAGGCAGATGCCTGCAGTCTCTACCAGAGCTGCAGTCAGGGAGCAGAGGGGAGGGGCCAGTCCTGCTGTGGAGCAGAGAGCCCCGCCCAGCCCAGAAAGCATGCTGGCATGCTAGGGGAGTCTGATTTAACTTGAACCAGCAAGGAGTCTGGGACAGACATTGCATACACCGGTTTGACCCAAATCAGATAAGTCTGATACTACATTCAACCAGGTTTATCTAAAACTGTTTTCAGCCATTTTCAAACTGGTTTATGTGCACTGAACATCTGTTCTGTTACAGGTTTAAACCAGTTTCTGATCACTTAACAGGTTTATGTGGAGCTTCTGTCCCTAGCCATTATATGAAAATGGCTTTTTGAAATTTGTGTTAGATACATTAGATATTTAAAAGGCCTCTTTCAGGATGGGAGCTATTTTTCTTATGTGTTTATCTAGTACTAAGCATAGACCTATTCAATAAATACGTGCCCTTTTTATAATCATATATAAACTAAGAAAGGTAGTCAGCTGCATTAGTCTGAAATCAGGAAGAAGGCAAGATAGAGGTAAACCTTATAGACTAAGTGAGGCTAGGTAAGACATTCAAAAAGACTGAGGTAGAATCAATCTAAGTTTTGCAGTTTTCTGTAAGTGGCATAGGTTAGATCGGTAACCAACAGAACACATGTTCACCCTTTGAGGGAGGGGGGGTGCTAATCTTAGATCAGATCATAATCCAGTCCACCGATTATTACCCCATGGTCCTAGTCCA